TCTTTCATGAGAAAATTTAAAAGTACTATTATGATATGAGATCTAAGGATAAAGAGAAATCAGCATACAACATAATATATTTGCCTAATTTCTATCTTTTGAATTCAAAAGAATTTCTCACCTATAATATTATACATGTATTATACAACATAAACAAAATGACATAGAAGTTGATAGTTGAATTATTACTTAAATGTTGATTAACATACTTATTTTTTAGGGAGCTTTAAGGAAAATGGTTTGAGCCAACAAATATTTAACCAAAAACCATCCCAAAATGTTATTTAACCAAAATGACTCAAAGTTTAATAAAAAAAACATCCAAAAATATTATCCACGGGTCAAACTTACAAGCCCAACCCACTACAAATTTACATTTCTGTAAATACCCCTAAATGATTCGATATTGTCCTGACTCTTCACCAAACTCAACTGTGACATCCCACATCGCCCAGAAGAGTGATCCTTATATGTATATTCCTATCCCTACTTAGCACGAGGCATTTTGGAAGCTCCCTAGCTTCGGGTTCCGTAGGAACTCTGAAGTTAAGCGGGTAGCGCGCGAGAGCATTCCCATGATGGGTGACCCACTGGGAAGTCCTCGTGTGAGTTCCCAGAAACAAAATCGTGAGGGAATGGTAAGCTCAAAGCAGACAATATCGTGCTACGGTGGTGGAGTGGGCCCGGGAAGTGGTCCGCCCCTGGCCGGGATGTGACAATTGGTATCAGAGCCTAACCCTGGTCGCGCGTGTGCCGACGAGGACGTCGGGTCCCTAAAAGGGGTGGATTGTGACATCCCACATCGCCCAGGGGAGTGATCTTTATATGTATATTCCCCTCCCTACCTAGCACGAGGCCTTTTGGGAGCTCCCTGGCTTCGGGTTCTGTAAGAACTCTGAAGTTAAGCGAGTAGCGCGCGAGAGCATTCCCATGATGGGTGACTCACTGGGAAGTTCTCGTGTGAGTTCCCAGAAACAAAACCGTGAGGGAATGGTAAGTCCAAAGCGGACAATTTCGTGCTACGGTGGTGGAGTGGGCCCGGGAAGTTGTTCGCCCCGGGCCGGGATGTGACATCAACCCAGCACGAAACCGTCATAATAATTCTATGTATTCCTATCAAATCAAATCGAATTCCTCCATTTCAAAAACAACCAAATCAAAGTTGAAAAATAAAGCATTCATCGGAACAAGTTGCCGAAACAAGTTCAAAGAAGTTTAATGGTAGAAACTAGCGAAAAAGTGTCTGGAAAAAAAAAAAAAAACCAAAACATAAAACTGTTTCTAGAGAACCCAAAACATAATATTGTTTCTGGAAAAAAAAAAATCAGATACAGTGTTTGTTTTGTCTGTGCACAAACAAACACTAGATCTAAAAAGAAAAGAACCAAAATCCAGAAACAGTGATTTAGATTCCAGAAACAGTGATTTAGATTCCAGAAACAGTCTATATTTTAACTTTTGATTGTTTCTTTTCTTTCATGCATCAGTTGATTATATTTAAGAAATAGGGTGCTTATTTTGCTTTGAATCCAAATACAGTGAATTTCACTATTTATTTTCTAACTTACATTTAAGAAACAGCGTGTCTATTTTATTTGGATCTAGAAATAGTGACTTAGATTCCAGAAAAAAGTGACTTAGATTCCAGACAAAAGTAACTTAGATTCCAGAAACAATTTTACTTAAAATCCAAAAATAGTTTATTTTACAGTCCAAAAACAGTGACCCATCGTTATTATTGAATAGCCTGCAGATATCAAATTTAGTTTTTTGGAGAAACAAACGATGAACTCCATTGATGAATAAAAATTGAAAAACAGTACCTCGAATACACTATAAATAATAACGACGATCACATTTCAATGAAATAATACAAAATATAAATTAAATAGTATGAGGATATATATTTTTGTTTCAAAGAAAAAGAAGAAGGTCTGCAAAACAACGATGAAGTCTATTAACGACAAAAATCTGGAAATCCACCTTAAAAAGTTAGGGATAAAATCGACAAATCATAATTTATTATAGTTGGTCCATTTTTAGTTGGATTACTTTAATATAGGTCTTGTACTAATCATTAAACAAAACTGATAACATGGTTTTTTTATTAAAACTAAAACTTTTCAAGATATTTTCATTATTTTTTTTATTTTTTATTCGTGACACGTGATTTAATTTGTAAATTTAATTTACCTAACAATATTACTCTCGGGTTAATTATTCAAGGCCAGTATTCAGCTTGGATCGTAGCAGTACGTTGTAGAAGCAAGTTTTGCTAAAATAAATCTCTTCAAAAGAAGAGCTCATGATTAGACCTCGAATCCTTTTCTTTTTATTCCTAAAGAGGTGTAATTGAGAGGACATGAATGGTAAATCACTTTCAGAAAACAGTGTATATCCTAAGGATAAAAACTATAAAAAGCATAATCGTACAATTTAAAAGCCCGGCAAGGATTTGGTCCTCGGATTTAGACACACCTGCAACTACGTTACATCCACTTAGATTTCCCAAAAAAGGACCCCCACCCCCACCCACTTCTCTCTTTAGTCTTTCCCTTAATTCCTGACCAGACACGAAAAGCCAATTTGACTCCGACGGTCCAACCCTAACAACAATACACCCTCTCTCATTCTCTCTTGCCGACTGATTTAGAGGCACTATTCCTTTATTTTACGAGGAAGGCGCTCTCAATTGGAGATAAATAATTTGCCTTATATAATCGGTTATAAGTTAAAAATAGATACAAGAAAATATATAAAATGAAATTAAAGAGAGCTGAAGTTTCACCATAATTGTTGATAATATAAGGAATAGTCAAATCTCATAAGTTCATGTAAGATCTATCATCTCATCAACGTGAGATTTATTATCAACGTGTTTTCTTACGTTTAACGAATTTTTAAGTCTAACCCATATTCAATACAAATGGGATGACGTGAAACATGTATGGCCGTTGAGTTTTACAAGTGGAATAACCTGCTCTTATATTGAGATGAAAGCTAAGATTACATCATAAAACTCATTGACAATATGAAGAGTAGCCCAACTTTTTGCAAGCACATGCAAAATCCCTTCACTCATTAACGTAAAATTCATTCTCAACAGAAATAGCTCAAATTAATTTGTTGAATTCGGTCACACTTCTTGCTCTTGTGGAGGAAAAAAAAAATATATGTTACCATCAACAAAATCTTGGGTTCGAAATAATAAATTATTTGTACCAACTGTGTTTTATGCCATCTTAATTAATCCTGTACAACAACAATTCTATAAGGTTGTAAAGTTAAAATAAAACCAAGTCTATAATTTTAGAGGGGTTATTACTTAATAGAGGTGTAGTGAAAAAATATTATTTATTAACTTATTCATCTTTATTAAATATTGTATTTGTTAAACAAGATTCCTGAGGATGACAGTATGGAAATACCAAAAGTTTTATGCCAGGAAGTTGTAAACATGCTTGAGAAGCTAGAAATATTTTGGCTTCAACAAGAAGGGATCATGTTGACGAAGTATTATGCAGGCAAACTCAAAGACGTGATATCGATTTTAAACACTAAAGTATTGTCCTAAACAACTTTAGAAATATATATATATATATATATATATATATAAATTTTTTTTTGAAACAAGTACGATATTCATTAAAACAAATCATAATTCGTACAAATTGAGAATAGTGTGCTAAATGGACCTCGATAGAAATCTTGTCAGTACTTCCAACCAGGTCTAAAGAAAAGAGTATTCCGTACAACAAAAGAACTATCCTCAAATGAACAATAGAAAACAAGATTACATTCCTTCCTCAAATAAGAGATCTTGAATAAAATCCAGAGGCTCCTCAAACCTAAGCACCTCTTGAATACAAGTGAGTCCCATCCGAGCAAGACTATGCGCAACTGAGTTGGCTTCCCTCTGAACATGTCCGCACTCCACAAAAGGCAGCTCCATAAGAAGACTTCTCAAATCGTTAATAACAGGCCCCCAAACGGAAACATCTTCTCCTCGCCCTGCCATGGCAGCCAACGCCAGAGATGAATCTCCTTCCAGTTTAATCTTAACATCAGGCGGGTAGATTCTCGTCAGCAGCCCCCAATGCCTAACGAGCTGCAAAAAGCTCCGTGTACAAAGCCGACGCCGCCCCATCAACAGGACCAGCCGCCGCCCCCAAAAAACTTTGGAAAATATTTTAGTTCATCTTAAATATTTATTTGTGATATTATATATTTTTGTACTCATTGACTATTATTATTACGTGAATATGTGTTTCCTTAATATGTGATAAAAAAAATTTATGCATAACTAGTCTCAAATTGTTACCTATGATTTTAAAGAGATTATTCTTTTATAGAATATTACTTTTAAGAGGTTTTACTGTATTATACATTTTACTATCTTAACCAATCATTTATTATACCATCTTTATTACCTCAACTTGATCATGAATTATACCACACGAAAGACGGTAAAATGACTTGGAAGATCTTATAAGAGCCTATAATGACCATTAAGTGTTTGATAAAATATTCGCTCGAAAGATGTTGGGAGGGCTCAACATGTCATGCTCGACAAGCCTCGACAGATGAGGACATAATCACCAAAAGCTTCATAAAATTATTTCCCTTCCAATTTTTCTAAAGTTATTCAAATTTTCGAGTTCAAATTAAAAATTTTATTTTCAACATCAGAAATATCATTCCAACTTGCACACCTTATAGCCACTGTTCACCATATCAACCGAACAATAATTTGAATGAAAGCAACGTTACCACAAAGTCAGTTAAGACATATCGTACAACCATATAATATTTACCAAATGACAAAGGAAAAGAGAAGCAAAAAGCAGAGGAAACCTTGGCTAGGCTAAAGAACTCCTGGGCCTCCTGGTTAGGCTATATAGGACACTAGGGTAGACACCCGAATCCTGCGCCAAAGATTGGCTGACTTACATGACGACATCTTTCTCCACCTCTCCTTCTCCTTCTCCTTCATTCAAAACCATCAAATTAATAAAGAAATCCAGAGTCTATCTTTCCCTGTCTATAAATATGTACCCAAAAGCACTTATCCCTACCAAGTTCTAGCTAGCAACAAAAGCCCAGTTTTACTGTGCTTGCCTAGCTAAATGGACTACCTCACTACCACTGACTCTAACTCAAATAATTTCGCCAGCTCTTGTTCTTCCGTGACAAAAAACAATCGTGGTGGTGGGAAGAACAAAAGTAATGGAGTGAGGCTGTCCACTGACCCACAGAGCGTTGCGGCTAGGGAGAGGAGGCACAGGATCAGCGACCGCTTCAAGATCTTGCAGAGCTTGGTTCCTGGCGGGACAAAGCTGGACACGGTGTCCATGCTGGAGGAGGCCATCCACTATGTGAAGTTCCTCAAGACTCAGATATGGCTTCACGAGACCATGATCAACATTGCGGACGATTACCATGATCCCTTGTCGTCATCATCACCACCGTCCATGTTGATGGATATTCCAGCTCATGATCATGATCTTCATCCAATTGGGTTTCTTGATCATGATCTTTGTCCAACTGGGTGCTTTGATCATCTTTCTCACCAGCTTCATCAGCAGACTCATGATGTGTACGCTCACAGCGATTTCGTTAGTGCTGCTGCTTCAGTGCAACCACCGTCACCACCAGCAGTTAATATTCCAATAATGCCCGAGTACAATTGCTTCCAAAGGTCAAGGAACAATTGGCAATATTGAAGCCTATATGAAATATTTTAGCTAGCTTTAGTAAAGAGGGGACGGGCGAGAGGGTTCTCCGTGCAATGGTTCTTTTCTCAAGGAAACGGTTTGGTACCTCGCATCACCATTGACGAAGAGCTAATTTCGCTTAATCTTAATTTATTTTCATCAGAAAATAGCTAGCTTAAATCTCTGTCTCTCTCTTAGGTTATGAATTAGTATGTTGGGGAGTTAGATGTGATTATATGGTAGTATGGTGTGTTTCAATAACAAAAATGTTTCTTTTAACTAATGTTACTTTGTGTTGCTCTAAAAATGGAAAGGAATGTTCTCTGTGTTTGATTGGTTTCTGTCTTGACTGATTTAGATTAAGTGCAAATATGGTGTGCTGATGAACCTAGGAATGATCCTAAAAGTGTGGATTAGCTAAAATATCCGGTGGGTTTTAGGCTGAATTAGTAGATCATGTTGCTAAGTAAGCTTCTGGGTCGGTACTCATTAGTTTCCTCCGGCATTAAGGGGGTTCTCTTGTATCAAAATGCTGTTGCAAACTTGCAACCATTTCATATCCCCACCCACTATTTACAAGTTTTTAGTTTAATTTTTTATATTGCTAAGAAGTGTTTTTCTACTAAAAGATCAATTTACGAGCATTGGGTTTGGGTTTTTTTTTTTTTTTTTTTTTTGTTTTTGCTAACTAAGTGTTTTTCTTGCTAACTAGAATGATTGGACGGATAATAGAATTGTTGCACAATCCATATTCTATCATGCCATAAAGTTAAAAGAAAATTAATGAAAATGATTTGAAAATTTTTAGTTTTAACGATAAGAAAAAAATAAAGAGTAAAGTAAATAGTACCAAGATTGATCTTTTAGTGTAAAAATATGATTTTTCATTAAAATAAACTGTGCCGGAAGCTTTTCGTTAAAGTTCTTTAAAATTAAACCTTACATTTATAAGGAAGCAAATGTAATGGAAAGTTGTTTAACTGTTTTTGAATTCGTTGTACTTGTTATGCTAAAGAGAGAAAAAGGAATATACAAAGAGTAAATTAGTCAAAATTATTAATCAAACAAAAATCAATCACTGATATGGTTTGTTTGGAACGTTCTTGGAAGAGTAAAAAGTGTGTTAACAAAAAAAAAAAAAATTATGATTACGTTTATACAACCTAAAAGCGTTTTATAAAGAAGCATATGCACTTCTTTGTGAAACACTTGAATTTTTAATTAATATTTGAGTTAATTAGGGTTCACCTTGCCCAACCATATATTTTTTACTAAACGTTGAATCCTTAATTTTCTAGTTAAAATTAACGAACTAGGTCGTTATTAACGAGTATCGTTTACTTTTCCTTCAAATCCATGAATTAAAATTGTAGTCAAATAATAAAAGTGATACAAAGTTCCCCAAAACTACCATGAATAAAATGAAATGCTTTGGCAGTGTGTAAAATCAATTTAGGCACTCGAGCTACTAAAAAATAAAATTTAGCAAAACCTTTTATGAGCATAAATACTTCTTATATAAGTAGTACTAAACGAAGAGTTTGTGTGGGAATTGGTAGCAATGAAGAGTTTGTGTGGTTTGAAGAACCCTCTGATTTGCTTAGCGATATTTTGTTCGAAGATGTTTTATAATTTGCGTATGTATTATCATTTGAGGATAGGTTATCTTGTTATGCGAGACACTTTTTTTCTTTCGATCGGGTTGAAATCCACTAACAAGGTTTTATCGAGGTCTATTTTGCATGCTATCCTCAATTTGTACGTTTTCTAATTTACTTAATGAATATCGTACTTTCCTTAAAAAAAAAAAATAGTACTAAATGAGTCACCAACACATGAGAAAGCTAATTAATTAAATGCACCAAGCACGTTGGAAAACTGGTTACCGTACCTTTTTTAATTTGTTGTTTTAATGTTTTCTCTTTTTAATTCTAGTTTGTCATACAATCATTTTTAGAATCTCTCTTACCAAAAGGATTTTGGAAATGTGGAAACTAGATTACCAAACTTAAAGCATCTCTAACCATGTTATTTGATTTTATAGGAAAGTTTTAGCTAAAATTATAAAAAGTTATTTTAAGAGCTCTCCAACATGTTGTATTCCAACGATCCAATCACATTCTGTATTTTAGAGAATCATAATGACTATAAGTCAATAATTAGCCAATAAAAATTATGTATTTATTTAAACTAATATTAAAACGACTAGCGCTAATTATGGGAAGCATGATTGGAGTTGATTTTTTGAAATCCTCCTTAAATTCTAGTTAAGAGCTCATTTAGGGAGTCCATTAGAAATCTCTTACCATTTACTTTCTAATGCCAATAAAAAATTATGTTCATTTCCTCTAATGTTTTCGGGTGCATAAGTTTAATTTGTAGCTTCAATCATCTAAAAAGTAAATAGAAAACATGTTCGATTCCTAATATCAAAAATATTTTTGACCTAAGCGAAGTTTTTCTATTTTGCATTCCGATGTCAAAACAAAAGTGGCATATATCTCATGTAATTTGCTTTTATGTGATTCTGTGAATGAGTCAATTATAGTAAAAATAAATGAAAAACATGATTGCAAGCCACCCTTTACCATAGCGGTAGAAATGAGTTGAGTTTTTGCATGACGGTGTGGATTCGAATCTGTCGGCGGCTAATCAAATGAAATCTATCGTTTGTCAGAAAGAGAAAAAAAATTGAAAAACGCAATTGATTCCTAAACCATAAACCCATTGGGCCTATAGTAAGCCCAGATACATCGACATATGGCCCCTACAGTTGTTCGTTTTTTACGTCCAACAACGACCCCTTCCGTAAGAGCCACCGGCGGGAACCATATCAAATCTAACAAGTTCAACACCTTGCCATGCTGCTGCCCTCGCGCATTTTGCAAAGAAGGGAGAGAGCGCATCAATGGCACACTTCTGTTCAGGTACTTACCCTAAAAATTTCAACTTTTAAACCCTTATGTGATGTACATGTTTGATGGCTGACCACATGTTTGGTGAAAGTCCTCACTGAACATCTGCATCATTCTGAAGGGCATTATTCAAGACCATGAAGATTACTACATTATATATATACATATACTTAGTCTCCGTTGTTGTGACCGCCATTTTGCGGTTTATAATTATATGAAAGTATAACACCAATAAAAGTAACAGTCAAGAAAAAGTAAAGAAGAAAGTTGAAAACAAAACAATTTGTGTCTATGGAGAAAATGAGTGCGAAGAGGAGGAAGAAGATGTAATAGGTGGAGAGAAACGGCATGTACAGTTTGGGTCATGGATGGCCCTCTTCCTACTCATATCAAGTTTTGAACAAAACACACAATATGGACCCCGAAACACTCTGTCTTCTGAAACAATCTCGTCTCCGCTATAGTCTTGCATGATATACGTGCTCTCTTCTTCCAAGTCTTCGTCCTCCTCATTGTCCCATTCAGCACGAGTTTTGTAAGAATATCCCATCATTGGAAGAATCGCCAGAAGAATTTTGTCAATGCTGTCCTCTAACCAGTTTCTTCCATCTTCCCACACGATTAAGAGGATAACAACAACTCCTGCTCCCACTCCATAACCCACTCCAGTATATATGGACTGCCAATCAACTTTTGACACTTCATTTCGACCCGTTCGTGATGCATCTGGTGACATTTTGGTATCACTGCATTTTTTAGGCAAAGGTGCCCCACACAATCCTTTATTGCCAGTGAAAGAATCTGGTGAAAAAGATTGAATCTGAGTGCCAGTTGGAATTCTCCCCTCCAGTTGATTGTTTGAGAGATTCAGGAAAGAGAGGAAATTAAGTTTGACAAGCCCTTGTGGAATTGTTCCGCTCAGTTTGTTGTCTGAAAGGTCCAAGGACTCAAGCTGTCGTAGGTTACCCAGTGATGATGGGATTGTACCTGTGAAAGCATTTATGGACAAGTTTAGGCCATAGAGTGATTTGAGGTCTCCCACTTGCTCAGGTATTGATCCAATGAAATTGTTGCAGGAGATGTCAATCGAGGTGAAGACTGTTAAGATCTTTACCAATTCCATCTCTAGACCTTTGGTGGTAACTGTTATAGCATCCTGATAATATACCTGACTGAACTGCAGAACTTGAAATCGGAGGTGATTAATCTTTGCCATGGCATCATCTTCGTCAGCCGTCATTGCTGACCAGGTTATCAAACATGTTCCTGGTATTTCACCACTAAAATTGTTGCGAGCTATGTCAACAATTTGAAGCTTTGGCCAGGCGTCACTCGTCGTGTTACATCCAATTTGTCCATAAAAACGGTTGGATCGCAAAACAAGGACACGCAAGGAGGATATATTCTTCAACAAGTGAGGAAAGATATCCTTTATCTGATTGTTTCCCATGTTTAGAACCTCTAACATTGAGCAGTTGGCAAGAGATTTTGGAAATAGACCTGCTATCTGATTTCCACTGAGGTCGAGAGTTTTTAAACTGCAACTCTGAGGAAATTTATTAGGGACAGAGCCATCAAGTTTGTTTCTTCTCAGATTAAGTACTGCCAGTGTCCTGCTTATCTCAGTCAAGCATTGCGGAATTCTGCCACTTAAAGAATTATTGGACAAATCAAGAACCTGAAGATATGGCGCCTTGCACACTGATTCTGGAATGATCCCGTGGATGTGATTGCTTGAAAGAGAGAAGAACATTGTGTACGTAAGGAAATCACCAATGTTAGCCGGAATGCTTGAGCTGAAGTTGTTTCTTGAATAATCCAGATAAGTGGCCAATCCTGGAAGCATTGGAATTTGTCCCTGAAGCTGGTTGGAGTGAAGGTCAAGCAGAGACAAAGTAGAACTAAGATTGATGAAAGGACCTTCTACAGTTACCAGAGAGTTGCAAGAAAGATTTAGTTGAAGAAGATTACTGAGCCTCCAAATCCAGTTGGGTATCTCACCATGAATCTGGTTTTGTGATAGGTCCAAAATGCTTAATTTTGATTGATTTCTCAAGAAACTTGGGATTCTTCTCAAGTTGCCAGCAACTAACTTCAATGTGGTGATATTTGGAAATGGAGAATGAGAGGAATTGGTGTCATTGTAATTAATAGACAAGCTATTGAATGAAAGATTGAGACTCGAAAGATTTTTTAGCTGCTGAATATCATTCAGAAGAAAAGAGCCAGTGAAGTTGTTTGAAGATAGTAAAAGAATCTTAAGCCCTCGAAATTTCAAGATAGACTTAGGAATTGGCCCTTCCAACTTGTTGCTACTCAAATCAAGTGTGTCCAGTACAGATATAGCACCAAATTCAGGCAACTTACCAGAAAATTCATTGTCAGAAAGCTGTAGCTTCTGCAGCATGGGAAGAGAAAACACAGATGGTGGAATAGTCCCATTAAGTAGATTGTGTCGCAAGTCAAGATTCACCAGACTAGTCAGGTTTTCCCAGCGTGAGGAATTAATCTGACCCGTTAGCTGATTGTAAGAAAGATCTAGTAGGGTCAGATTCTTGGCCATACTGAAAGATGGAACTGAACCATTGAACTTGTTCGCCGACAAGTCCAAATAAACCAACTGTGTAAGGTCTTCCATTGATCTCGGGATTGACCCAGTGAAATTGCAAGTTCCAATATCTATTTTGGACAGCAATTTGAGGTTCCCAATAGAGTTCGGAAGCATCTGGCCTGAGAAATTTGCCCCATGGAGAACCAACGATCGAAGAGAGCCATTCTTTGGAAATTCTGGTAAGGAACCTTTAAGCTGCGGATTACTGGATAAGTCAATAGTCTGCAGTGTCGGCACCTTGAAGATATTCTTTGGGAATGCACCATATAATCCAGAATTCATGATTCGTAAGGAAGTCAAATAGTGGAATTTCGAGAAGAACTCTGGAACTTGAGTAGACAAATTGTTGTTCTCAATACGAATAACTGAGAGTGACTTAAGCTTCAGTAATGACTTGTGAATAGGACCTGAAAGGTTACAATTGGACAAGCTCAATACCCTCAAGTTTGGCAATGAAGATGAAATCGCTTGGCACCACTCAGTCCCCTGTGCTGATATATTCACACCATCAAGATAAAGTTCAACAAGCTCAGAAAAGTTCCCAAGCAGCACATCCAATTTCAGTTTCTCAAGATTCAAAGAAGGAGTTCCGGGGAAATAAAAGGTAGACAAATCAAGAGTTACCAACCTCGTCAGGTGTGAAATCTCAATCGGAACCTGCCCCGCAAAGCCAGCATTCGACAAGTTCAGATTACTCAAACCGGTTAGCTGCTTGAACTCGGATGGAATCTGAGTATAGTTGAAGAAGTTGTAAGCCAAATTCAGGTACTCGATTGACTTGAGACCGAAAAGAGAACTCGAATTATCAAGTCCACCAGTAATTTCCTCGCTGCTCAAGTCCAGACTCGAAACACAACCCTTTTTGCAGGACACTCCTTCCCAAGAGCAGTGATCCGAGCCTTTGTTCCACTTGACAAGTTTCTTAGATGTTGCAGTGTCAAATGTGAGGTTGTTCTTCAATTGTAGCAGCAAAGATTGCTGATCGCCGGGACATTGGCCGTAGACGAGAAATACGTTGATGCTGATGGAAAAGTAGTAAAAGGGTATTAAGAAAAGCCATGAAAACAGAGGAATTTTCATTGAAATCTCTGAGACAAGGAAGCAGAGCAGGCTAGAACTTTCTCAATGGATACATGAAGGCAAAGATCCATGAAAGACCCTTTTGGGCCGTGGATTCGGGTCCTTGACCGGTCGAAAATCCAGCGGAGTTAGCACGGAAGGACGAAGAATTCAGATGAAGAAAAAACAGAGAGAATTGTTGGGATGGGGATTTGAAAGAAGAGTCCCTGAAACGCGTTTACCCATTTGTAGGCGGCCTTAGATAACTTGCGGCAAGTTGCAAACTTGGAATATTCAAAGCTCCCAAATGGTGTTCGTCTCTTCGCAGATTGGTTGTTGACTTTCTTGTTTTATATATTGGAAAAATAACCTTTCCCTTTCTTGATCCAAATTTTTTAGTGGCGTGCACAACGCGTTTGAAGATTTTGGATACTTTTAATTCTTTTTATTGGAAAAATAAGAAGTTTATGGAGATATTATTACAATGGTGGGGCTATGTGTATGACGTCCTATCTCCGCGTTAGGAGAAGCTCACTTGTGGTCATGCTGGGAAAGATTGGGAAAACTAAAATTTTAATTTGCAAAATAAATTATGTGTCAATAATAGGAAATAAGTAAGTTGATTAACACGTAAGTAATAATCAAATCATCAGCTATTACATCATTTAGTTTAAGATAAATCACTTGGCCACTTAGTACTACGGTTTAGTGGTATTCATCTTCACTTATAAGTCAGAGGTTTTAGGTTCGATTCTCCATAAAGACGAATTTGAATCACATTATTATTAGCCTATTGTAAGGCTAAACTCATCCCCTTTCCTTCGTGTAGATAATATCGTCTAGGCAAAAAAAAAAAAAAAAAAAACAGATGAATCACTTTAATTGCCACAAATTTTGATACATAAAACTAAAAGGATTGTTTTATTGATGCAGAAAAAAATTCTTAATGACAATGAACCAACACATACGCAACAAATTACATAATAATCAGGTATGTTATTAACAAACACACACGCAACAAATTACATGACAATAAGTTATCGAACTCATCACAAGTTAGTCGAACCCTCATGAAATCAAGTGAAGACTACTACTATTGATTTTTTATTTTGCATTTTAAAGTTTAAATAACTCTGGGAAACATAATCATAGAATCTCATGTATTACCCATTAACAAATGTTAACAATAATACAGCATTGTAGAATAATTAGAAAAATAATTAGAAGAATCAGTCTTCAATTCCGGCTAACTGTGGCTGTCTCTCAAATATTAATCAATTCTTGTAATCGTGGTTGTTGCAAAACCAGACCGTCATCATCGTTAAATAATTAGAACTTTTAAGTTTTTTTTTTTTATTTTATAAAAAAATAAACTAACTGGTAGCTTGGCCATAACATTCCATCACTTTGAAGACAGGAAAGACTCACAGAAGAATTTCAACTTCTTTCTAGCCATCATCGTGTGATTTACCAACGTCAAGAATTGAATACAGACCGTGTGAAATGCGAAACTGAAATTCGACCCCGTCTATTGAGCCATACCGTGGTGGTTATTAGATTTCTACAGTTAAGTAGGATTCGTTTTGCATTTTTCAACAACAGTACTTTAGGGCTCAACTAATAAAATGTAATATGCTACTTTGAATCGTATTGCTGAAAAGTATGTACATACGTTATTTTATACAAAATATCTTCATTATTTTGGTTTTCAAATTGATGCTTTGCGCGTTAAACGATGAACATGCGAATTTCTAATTTGGAATGCATCATTTTCTTGGTCAGAAGTGTTGATTTCGGCGCCCGACGGATTAAATACTATAAAGTGTGAAGTCATTGACAAGTTGGCCATCTTGAAATGGCTGTCAACTCTTGAGAGAGATGGATAAATTATTTATTTGTTCTTGTAATTATGGATGATTTTGAAGCTGATGTTAGTGTCGTTGTTGGTAAAGAGAGAAAATCATGCAATTTTGTCGGTAAACCATTCAGAGTATGAATTTTACATTTAGTCGTATAGTTGGTGCTTTCAAAACCTCAGGAATAGGAAAATTGTTGAGGGTATGAATCTCATACCGAAGAAATGACGGACCTTGTATGTATGTTTATAAGTAATTGAGTTACTTCTTATATCGTTAAATAATTTTATGATGGAAACTCAACTTTCTTAAAAAAACTACATGTTGATTGAGAAAAAAAAAAAAACCAAACTATATATATTGATTGAGAAAAGAAAAAAACAAAAAAAAAAAACCATCTCAAGGAATTGCACAAAATACTTAGCTCCTTATGTGGAAGGACCTATTTCTTCTTGAAGACTAATCACAGTTTAATATGTACATACAATGTTTTAAATATTTTTTTACCTTGTTTTGGTCATATGAATTAGGATTCGTTTGAGAAATAAAAGCACTTAGACTGCTTTCTGTAAGAAGCACATAACTATGTGATACTTTGATTTGCATATAAAGAAAGAGTGAGGGCTCAGAGACTGTTTTTGTAAGAAACAGGTTGAAGTTTTCTTATTAGAACTCCCAAGTGCTTCCTCAAAAAGTCTTCTAAAGTATTTCAAGAAGAAGCATTTGACAAGTTCTTCTTCAAAAAATGCTTTTATAGCTCATAAACACTTACAAGGACTGGTAAATACTTTTTATCTTTTTTTACCAAATACAATCATATGCAATCCCAAACATGTCCGAACTCGTATTTGCACCAAAACACACGTCCAAATATCAAAGAATAAGGTTAATGATTGGAGTTTCATACCAGTTTAGCAAGTGAAAAGGAATAAAAGGAGTCGTTTGATACATGCGGTCCCGCGTTCTTTGGGGTCTTTGTAGCTGGGTTAAATATTCTGCCTAAAACGGTCAAAAAGGGTCCCATGCGATGTGGTGTGTCCTACCCCAACTGCCCCGGTTTCCCTTCGACTTGGACACCCTGAGTCTTCCTGCCCGTTAGGCAAGGGTAGATATGTTGTCACTACCGAGTAACAATGGACTTGAAATTTCAACTTATCAGTTGGCTAACTCATCCACAAAGTCCACTCTAAACTGTACAATTTTCTTCAATTTTGATCCGGTTAGTTACGAGGGGTAATCGTCTTTACAGCTTTGATTTTAGGTTTTAAGTATTAGATTATGGCCGATGAAGCGATTGACCAATCTGATGACGAGAAAGTATGTTTTAAATTATGATTTTTCGCCTTAAAACAATCAGCCATGTAAATAAATGAGATTAAAATTGAAATAAATTCGGTAGAAATTGAAGCTTCACATTCATTCAAACTTCACAAAAATGAAAACTTATGGAATGGCGCAAATATTTTGGTTTGAACAAACTCACTTCACAAACATTAAGATAACATGACAGTATTCGACAAATAGAGCAAGTCAGCTACAAGCTAATGTATTCTGAAACTCTATCGAACTCGGCTTCTGTCGCTCTGAAGCTCGGCTTCTCTCACTCTGAATCCTTGCGTTCTTTTTCTCCCAAGCTAACAACGAACCGGTAGAAGTTTCTTGGTGAAGAACCAATCAACAGTAGAATTTTCTTCTGGTTTTGAGGTTGATTCGAAGAAAATTCTACCCAGAAAAGCTCCCGTTTCCTGGTAAGATTTGCGGCTTTCTCGATCTTGGGTTTTCTGTTGTTATCAGAACAATGTCGATATCATCTGGGGGTTTTATTTTGTTTGAATTTCTTTTTTGTGATTTTGGATTTACAAATGGATTTTGTGTTCAACTTTCCTTTTTGTGATTTTGGGGATTTTGTTTGTAGAGCGTCCATCATCGTTGAAGATGCCTCTTCTCGAGTCTTGTGCTTCATTCCGTTTCTCTAATCCAAAAAATTGATCGCTGCTTCTCAAACTCTCTCTCTGTGTGTCTCGCACCGCCACCACCAGGCGCCGCAGCCGCTCAAAGGCTGGGTCTCCAATGGTGGCGTTTTGTAAAACCCTCCCTACTCAAGGCAAGTAATTTCATGCCCAATTTGGAATTTAAATCTATTTACATTTTAAAATTGATTTTGGGTTACTGAAATCAGCTATGGAAAATCTGCCATTGTCTGAGAAAACTCCAGATTCCAGTATTCAAGTTTTGGGTTCTCTTCAGACTTCACAATTGTGAACTGGGCAGCCAGTGCAACTGGTTACAGAGCTTCCTGTGAGTTAAAGTTTTAAAATTTTGTTCAAATATTTTTAGAGTTTTTATCATTTTCGTTATCTCTGCTGATGTTTTGGATTTTTTTATTTATGATTTTTGTGCGATGATTAGGGTTGAAGAATTTGGTGATTAGGGTTGTAAGCAATCTAATTTGAATGTTGATAGCATTCGTTTTATTTTAGAACTCAAAGCCATCAACAACTTATTGGCCCTTGCAGTTGGATTAAAGCAAAACAAAAGTGTGAACATGATTGTAAAGAAGGTACAATTGTTTCTTATCCCGTTGTTTAGTTTCTTCTATCTTTGAATTCATTGGATTTAATTTCTCATTGTTATTCAATTTTGTAGGTCTTATCAAGTGCTTCTCAACCAGTTCACTGTTCACCCAAACGACTGCCACCACGAGTTCACCCGAATCTGATGAATCGCGCTGCACCACCTATAGGTAAGCCATTTATCCTACTCTAAATTTCAAATATTTCTTTTTAGGTCTGTACATGTGTGCATATGACAATTCATCTAAATGTTATACCTAATCCTTTGCATTTAGGAACATAAAACGGAAATTAGGTGAGGGTTTTCTTCTTCAAATGGGTTGATACTTTTGGCCTGAGAGTATTAAATGCCTTCTAGCGAATCTTGAACACAGTTTGGGCAAGTGGTTGTCTTTCTTCTAATTACATAAAATTGATATTGTCATATAGTTATTTGTTTGTGCTTTGTTCTGATATATCGATTTCTTTTTTCTCAAAATTTTTGCTTCGTTTTATATAATGCACAGAAAGAAGGGGGAACGCCTGGACTGGGGAAAGGTACAGTTAAGGCTGTTCAAGATCTTTATGACGTTGCGCACCATGACATCCTTTC